AGCTAGGTAAATGTGCGTGGATGTTCGTAGTGTGTTGCAACCGAACGAATTACAAGAATTTAGTCTTTTAAATTGGCGGAGATGTAACGAAATTCAATATCCAATTGTATCAAAAATTGCACGTGATCTACTAACACCTCCGGTGTCTGCGGTAGCATCGGAGGCTGAAATCAATTTAGGTGGTCGAATTTTATCAGATGAACGATCAAGACTAAAAGAAGATATATCAGAGGCTTTGATATGCTTGAAGGATTGAGAATGTGCGGAATTACGTGTTTAATAACATGTTGATAGTATAATGGCCGAAGAGTTGCAGCATATCCAAACATAGGATATTGTAAGTTTTAAATAAATTATTTTTCTTTAAGAAATGTATTTTTTAAATTTATTTGATTCAAGAAAAATTGTACACGAAATATTTTAATTGTGTACAATTTTAACTCCGCCTACGTTGATTGTAGTCGGTCTCAAGCCCGGAAAAAGGATGAGGGTTGTAATTTGTTACTTTCATTTATTTTGTTATTCGTATAAATTACATAATTTTGAAAGTTGTACTTTTATTTAATTTGTAATTTGTATAAATAATAAATGATGCAATTTTTAAATTCTTTTAAAAAATGTGAAAAATGTCATTATTTGCTTTCTACATTAAACAAATTGCATTATAACAATTGGTATGTGAAAAAAAATGTCATTAAAAATTGCAAAAAAAAAAAATTTTAAAATCGAGCCGGTCCGGCTCGACTCGTAAAAAGCCCGAGCCCTATTTTTTGGCCGAGCTTTAGCTCAGCTCGGGCCTAAAAAAAGCCCGCTACGATTTACTCGAGCCGAGCCCGAGCCGAAAAATTCNCATTGAGTAAATTGCACACTATCGATCAGCATTGAGATGAACTAAACTTCAATTTACTTGCTTGTAATATATTGGACATTACCCGATCTACAATTTCATTTTTTTTCTTTTTTCTTTTTACATCTTAACTTCATTTATTACTTTATGATCTATTTTTCATCTTTCCTATAACATTTTAAGCAATGACATCCAATAGAATTATATAAATATTTAGATTATGTATATTTATATTACATTGCGCTAGATTACTAGTACTTAAAACGACGTACAAATTATTTTCTAAGCATATTTTTAAAGTTACTTTCTGCTAGCAAAATCTTCCAAAAGCTCCTCAAACAAATCACTTAGAAGTTGAATCTCCAACTCCATTGCCATTTCTTCATGCTCCTCTTTAAACTCTTTCCAGTCCAATCCCCTCTCCATATCTTTAACACAGACCTCCTTCATGTCCTGCACCTCCCAATTTTCGTATTCTCCATTGATCCAAGGTTTTGCAGTATTCTCATAATCATTGAACTCTCCATTTTTAGCCTTGAAGAAATCAAACAGCAGATTATCCTCGTGGTTCTCTCCAAGATTTTCCAATTCTGCAAGGTTCTCGAATTGTTGAAGTCTTTGCATGAACAAGCATTTTCTCTTAGCAATGGTTGGATGAAAAGGAAATACGGATTCTTCGTCTTCATAAAACGGAGAATCAAGAACTGAAACTGGGCTGCGCTGCTCAGCTTCTCCGAATGACAACTCCTCCTGTAAATCATAATTAATTCTTTATTAATAAGTCATGTCATTTTGAGTGGTTTAATTTTATATTTAAAAAAATTAAAATAAACTTTGTTTTATTCAACAACTGGCCCTTTTGTTTTATTCGCAGACAAATCTCCGTCGATTATATTCTGATAGTCTACCAGCAGACAGCGAAAAATAAATAAATAAATAAATAAATAAATTCAAAAACTGACAGAAAGAAAGAAAAGAAAAAAATATATGGTCTTATTTAAGTTTTAGAAAATTATGAATTTACCTCTAGATTCCTTCTTGTTTTACTGCCGTTTTCACCACCCCACGGCGGTGAATCGGCTGCGGTAAAGTCACTGTCACACCAGCTAGATTTCTTGCTGCACGAGGTGTTTGTACTAGTAGACCCTGTGGTGGTGGTGGTTGTACACCAAATAGGGGACGATGAAGAAAAATCCAACGGGATATCTTTCTCCTCCGCCAAGTCCTTAAACGATCTCCACCGTAAAATGTCCTTGACTTTAACGGAGACTTGTGGGAAATTTTCATTTCTGGTTTTGATCCTCCTGGAGAGTTTACGGGAAATGCTTCTTGGTAAAGCTAGTGGAGATTTGACAGAAGCAAATGGGAAGAATTTAACTGCCTTAATGACTTTGTTGAGTGCATAAAATGTGGTTGCTGCAGCTTTTGATCCACTTCTAAGAAGTAATGGTGAAGGTTTGTTTGTTACAGTTGATTTACTTCGGGGTTTTCCTCGAAATGATCGAAAATCATCATTTGGTGAACATGAAAAAGAATCATCTTTGAGGAAATCTTTGAGCATTCTTGGTTCATGTTTAAATGAAAAAGAACTCCAGAATTTTTGATCAAGTGATGATGAAGCCATGGGTTATAACCGCCCCCAAAGAGTTTCGATTTCTAAAACGTGCTCGTAGGATGTATCTATACAAGAAATACTGAAAGTTGGTTCTTGAAATTAAATTCGGTATCACAAGGGAATTGGTTTGGTTTTCTTGGAAGAAAATGTGGGTTGAGGTGTAAAATTAATGAAAGAACAAAGATATATAAAGTGGTTCCATAGGTTGAGAGACAATGGATTTGGAGAAAATGACAAACATCACGTAGAAGCATGGATGTTTCTAATTAAGTTTATTTTAATAAATGATTCTTGCAATAATAGTTGTAACACTAGACATAGTTTTCATCACATGATAATTGATAGACATGATTAGCTGGGTGGAACACGTTAGCATTTTCCCCATGGTTTCGTTTAAAAATATCAATTTTAAAATATAATAGTTGATTTTAAACTATCTGAGATGTAAGGAATTTAGATGTTCTCTTGTATGCTCATGTGAAATATGGCCAATCATTCAACGAAAACAGTAAAGAACACAAAATCTTGTTCACCTAATTTGGCCAAATGCTTAATCTAGCGGGCTCAGAAGCTAGCCTGTCCACTATGTGCAAAAGTAACCCCCCAAGAGATAGCAACAACAAGAGAACACACTCAGACATTGGTTTAGTTCATCGATCCAATGGATCTCACTAAAGCAACCCTAAACCACCAAGTATGAATGCAACTCAAACTGTTGGACTCAAAACCGACACCACACACACACCAAAACAACCGGCCAAAGTTACTATAGCAAATGGGTTTTCACAGGGTTAAACCAATATTACAATAATCTCATGTAAAACCACAAGAATGAGAACCAAAATAGAAGAAGAAGAAATCTCTCGAAAAGGCCAGAGAGAGAAAAACGCAAGAACCTAGAAAACTCATAAAACCATCTGACTACCAAACCTCATGGATTGACCCTTCAAAAACCACCACAAAATAATCTGATTCATCTCAGCCATTGATATGTAATGGATGACCGGGATTAGATTCAAAAAAGCACAACTCGCGTGAAATCGGATTGGCCAATTAGAGTTTGCCACTTGGGCCATCCACTTCCAAAAAACCCTTTTACCCTTAATGAAAGTGTCAAAGGATTTGAGAAGCACGTTTTTACAATCTTCACCTTGGTTCTCAAATCATCTACTGTCTCAAGTATGCTAACTTTTGCATATAAGAACTACCTTAGCCCTACATCATTGCCCTTGGTACCTGCAAGAAAAAATCAACATGTATCAATATGGAGAATGGACAAACATGATCTAAACTTACTAAATCGTTCCCATATTAGATGGGTTTTCATCAGTGTGAATTTTCTTAAGATTCACATCACCAAAAGATATCTACTCTATTATAAAATAATACTTTACCTCAATGTGTTTAGACCTATCATGATACACAGGGTTTTTACTCAATAGTAAAGCACTCTGGCTATCAGTAAGAACTGTTAGGGTCTCTTGTAAAAAAATTTAACTCAGTTAAGATTCCTTTCAGCCACAAACAATCTTTCATAGTTTTAGTGACTGCTATATATTCTGCTTCAGTACTAGATAGAGTGACAATTGGTTGTAACTAAGATTTCTAGGTTATACAATCCCCCTTCCCAATGTAAAGAAGAAGGCAGAAGTAGACTTTCTCTATCTTTGTCACCAGCAAAATCAGAGTCTACATATCCTACAAGAATTAAGATCTTAGATCTCTTTTCAAATTTCAAACCAATGGTTAATGTTCCAGAAATGTATCTTAGTAACTATTTTAAGCCTACCCAATGAGGTTTACCGAGATTTGACGTAAATCTACTAAGAAAACTAATAGCATAGGCTAAATCAGGTCTTTCTGTAGTCATCGAAAACATGACAAACCCTATTGCATTATCATATGGAATGTTTCTCATCTCAATTTCAGTTTTTGGTGATTGGGCAGTACAAAGGTTCATATGGGCAGCTAGAGGTACATTTACAGACTTGGCATCTTTCATACCGAACTTGGTTATAACTTTATTTAGATAGGATTCTTGGGATATTGTCAATTTATTTCTAAGCCTATCTCTCTTTATAACCATCCCTAGGATTTTCTTGGCATTACGTAACTCTTTTACATCAAACTCGGATTTCAAGAGGTTCATAAGTCTTACAATTTCAGGCATACTGGAACTTGCTAGAAGCATATCATCTACATAAAGAAGAAGGTGTACTTCACTTCTAATCTTAGCATTATTAAAGTATAAACAGTGATCATACTCACTCCTCTTGAATCCAATCTTTAGCAAATATGTGTCAAACCTTATATCCTATTACCTTGGGCTTTGTTTGAGCCCATACAAGGATTTTTGTAACTTACATACAAAATTCCTTCACTTCAAAGCCTTGAGGCTAATCCATATAAATGTCCTCTTCCAATTCTCCATGAAGAAAGGCAATCTTGACATCTAATTGTTCAAGTTCCCAGTTGAATTGAACAACTAGTGCAAAAATCATTCTTATGGTTTTATAATTTATAATAGGTGAAAATATTTCATAATAATCAACTCCTTCTTTCTGAGTAAAACCCTTGGCAACTAGGCTTGTTTTATACCTAACAGGTTCAGATGAGTTATTACCTTCCTTTAACTTGTAAATTTACTTACACTGAACAATCCTATGATTATTAGGCCTTTTTACCAACTTCCAAGTTTTATTTTCTGTTAGTGATTTCATTTCTTCCCTCATAGCAGCTTTCCAGTTAGCAGCATTAGGACAATTCATAGCTTCCTCAAAGGTAGAGGGTTCTGAATTTTCTAATGCGTCACTAGAAGTTAAGGCAAACTCAGTCAGGTTATTTATTTGATATCTGTGATTGGGTTTCACTTGCCTTCTTTCCCTATCCTTAACTAGTTGGTAGTCCTGATTAGTAGGTTCAGTGTTAGGATTATTATGAGTGATTTCAATCTCAGGTTCAGTTTCTATGTTAGGGAAACTTGCTTCACCTTCATTTGACTCCCCAACCCTCTCTGAAGTTTCCTGTGCAGTGGCTTTATTATCCTCAGATGATGAGTTAATGAACCTGGTCAACTTAACTTCACTAGTAGGAATGTTTCTTTCATTAGGTTCAACCTATTTTTCAGCCTTATTCTTTAAACATGGCATTCCAGATTCATCAAACACAACATTCTTACTATTGATGATTTTTATGCCTTTGCCATCTAAGACCCACAATCTATAGCCCTTTACCCCTTCTAGATATTTTAGCAAAACACATTTAGTTGTCCT